TTTGTGTGTTTGTTTGTCGGTGGGTCCGTGGGGTGGGGGGCTCCCGCCTGCCGGGCTCTTCTTCTCACCCTTTGGGGCTGCTGGTGGCTGGCAGCAGGAAGCCGGAGGAGCAGAGCATCCCCCCGAGCACCCGGCTGCACCGGCCCCCGCTGCAGCCCCTGCCTCCAGCACGGCCCCGGGGGCGGTGAATCAAGCCCCCCTTTTGCGTGGGAGTGGGATGAGGAGGAGACGTGCACGGGCAGGGCTGTGTTTGGGGGACCAGCATGTCCCCAGGGCACGGGCTGTGCGTGTGCATCGCCCTCAGGGCGGGGGAGCGTGTGTGCCCTGCTCTGCCCACCCGTGCCGTGGCAGGGGGGTCTGGAGGCACATGGGAGGGAGTTGGGTCCCCACCCGACAGGGTCCCCTCGGGCTGGGCCATGCAGGAGCTGGAGACTGGATGTGGGGATGCAAGGTGGGGATGAAGGTGGGTAAAGGTGCAATTAATGGAAAAGCCATTAGACCTTTCTTCTCCTCCTCCTCTTCTTCCTCACTCCGCCACTTGCTGTCCTCCTCCACTTCCACCTCCTTTCTTCTCTCCCTCTCTCTGCTCCTCCTTCTCTCTCTCAAAGATTTCTCCCTATTTTTGTCTGGTTAGATCCTTTTCTTTTCCTTTTAACCCTTTCATGGCAGCCTGGAAAGGAACACAATCCATCTCACCTGCCAAAGGCAGGTTGTGGAGCCACTTCTGGGGGTGGATGCTCCTGTTGCTTCAAAACCATCCAGAAACGGGGCAAAAGCTTAGAAGAAAGCTCAGAAGGTGGGAGGGTGCAAGGGGGGGTGTGGATGGAGGACGGGGTGCTGGTTCCCCAGTGGGTGCTGCCAGGGGTGGTGGGAGCAAGGTGGGCTCAGGGGGGAACTGCTTCCCTGAGCTCTTGGACCTTTTCACTCCACTTTTATTGCCCTTTTATGTGCTGTTTTATGTTAAATGCAGCAGAGTGTGGCTCAGCAGCAAATAGCCTGAGGAAAGAGGGAGTACACCTTCCTTCTACCCCCACCCTGCAGTCCCTTCCCTTTCCACCCCGGTTTGGGCACCACAGGTGAGCAGCAGCCCAGGACACAGCCTTTTGCTTCCAATTAGCTGTGCCAAGCTGCAAACCCCTCGGTGGGGTGGGGGACCCATGCAACCTGCTCCCCCAGCAGCCCTGGGGGAGACTTTTGGGGGGCAGCTCCAGCCCTCCCCTACAGAGCAATCAGGGCCAGCCCCCCTGAGGAGCCTGGCTGGCTGGTATAGGGACCTGGGGACCTGCCATGGTTTCTCCAGATTCTCCTGACACACTTCTGCTCCAGCTGCTCCCACCCACCCCAGTGTGTCCCCTCCTCCTGCAGCCCCCCAAGCCCTGAGGGATGCCACTGCGGGCACCAGCAGGGCCTTGATTTTGGGGGTGTGTGTGTGTGGAGCAGTTGCTAGGGCGACAGCATCCTCCTGCAACAGGGAAACTACGGTTTCCATGGAAACCTTTTTTGCCCCACTTATTCTACCACTGCCACGTCCTTTAATTTGCCTTTAATATTTGAATTTTAGCCTTCTCCCCCACCCCACAGCAGGCAGGTGACCCCCGGGCAGCCCCTGGGGCCAGGTCTCCAGCATGGCTCTGGTCCCCACTGGCGGGCGGAGGGTTTGGGAAGCAGTTGCCCCGGCAACAGAAACAGGGCGTTTCTGGCAGCGGTGGGTGCCATGGGGACAGGGATGCTGACGAAGGCTTGTGAGGCTGAGAAGACAAATTGCCCTCATCATTATCTCCGGGCTTGTCAATCAAACATATTCCCTTATTTACCTCGGCGAGGAGAGAGCCCCGGGAGCACACGGAGAGGGAGGGAGTGAGAAGAGAGCTGCTTGCCCCGAACTCTGCACTGGGGAGGGAGCATTTCCAGCCCCTTGGGATGGCCACCATCACCTGCAATCGCTTCACTGAGGAGTACCAGCTCTTTGAGGAACTGGGCAAGTAAGTTGGAGATGAGGCTGGGATGCTCAGAGCTCTGGTCTGGCTGGGGAAGCCCCTCGGCAGTGTTTGGAATGGCAGGAACTGGGGGGAAGAACACGAGCACAGATCAAATGCTCTGGGGAGTGGTGTGGGGGGGCTCGGGTTAGGGTGGGCGATGTCACCCCCAGCCCTGCTTGTTCTGTCTCTTCCCGAGTTTTGGTGATTGCTGATAGGTGCTTGGATCATCCCTGGGGGGCTGGAACTGCCTGGGGAGTGTGGGGCTGCCCCTCTTATGGAAAAGCCGCTCCTGAAAGAGGATGCTGCCAGGTCCCACGGGAACTTCTCCAGCCGGCAGGAGGGGTGGAAGAGCCGAGGAGGAAAGCCGAGGCAGTGGGTGCCTCTCACATTTGTTTAAGGGAATTTATCTGTGTGGATTCACCGGGGTTTGGCTAGTTCCATGGGAGACCCAGCCTGCCTGGAAGAATCGAGGCAGCTCTTGGACAGACCTGGGCTGTATCCAACCTCTGTCCCAGCTTGAGTGCCCCAGGGATGAGCCAGAGCCCTGCCTGACCCATCTCTCAGCTCAGCAGGTCTGGTTGTCACCACGTGTCACACCCTGTGTGTGCATGTGTGTGCAAGCAGCACTGTGGGTGCATAGCACGGGGGTCCTGGGGGGCACTGAACACAGTGCAGGGGAGTTCAGGTCCTCTGTGTGGGACACAGGGCTGCCCCGTGGCTCACCGAGCATGTGGCTGTGGAACAGCTGCCCAAGTGAGCAGGTGTGTGCCTGTGTTTTGGTGTCTGTGCCTTTTTTCTGGAGCTGGTGTGTAAATCCAGGGCGTGCATCTGTGTTCCCCTCGGCTTGGCTTGGCGTGCTGGTGGGCTCGGGGTGCCAAGGGGAGCAGTCAGTGCCTGTGTTCCCAGTGGGAAGTAGCACCCATCCTTGGGCACGGGTGCTCGCTCCAGCCCTGCGTTTCCCAGGCGGAGAGGAGCCTGTGCCCAAATGTGCCCCCGCACCCGTGGGCGTGCAAAACGGGGGCGAGAGGAGAGAGGGGAGGACAAAGAGGGAGAAATCGAGAGGCTGAAATGGGGGAGGATTTTGTGCCAGGCTGAAAGCCACTAATATTCCCCATCCTAATGGGGGGACCAGATTGCTGCTGCAAACAGAAGTGCAGCTCCTTGGAGGAGAGCAGACCCTAAGTCCCAGGATGTGTTCATCCAATCCCTTGGTGTTGAGTGGCTGGGAGAGGCTGGTGGGGAGCAGCAGGCTCGGGATCAGGTCCCTGCAGCAGGGACAGTCCCAGTCAGCATGGGCAGTGGGGGACAGGCACCCATTGGTGTGGCGGTGGCAAGATGGGGTTTGGGACCTGCTTTTTCCAGAGGTTTCTCGGCTTTTCTGGACTCTGCAGCTCTGCAGTGGTGGCAGGGGGTGGGCAGGGGGTGGGCAGGAGAGGCAGCAGCTGCTGGGTGCTTGTGGGAGGCGGCTGGGCCGTGGCTGGGCAGAGAGGGCTCTGGGGATGTGAAGGGGAGCTTACAGGCCAGGCATGATGGGGGAGGACCAGGAGGGTTCCTGGAGGTGTTTGGGATGTGATGCATTGCTGAGTGGGCACCGACACGGCAAACTGAGCACCCAGGCCAGGGGGCTGCCCACTCTGCCTAGCACCATGGTGTAAAACCACCTCGACAGATGCATTTTGTGTTCCTGAATAAAGGAGCAAAGCTGGCACAGTAGCTCACCAGCCCCCTACAAGCATCAGCCCACCAGACCCCCTGCAGGAGGTGATGCAGGCGCAGCATCCCCAGCTCAGAGCATCCCACAGCTGTGGGGATGCAGGTACCACCACAGCACTGAGGCATGTCCCCGTGTCTGGAGCTTCACTGGGCTGTCCACGGCGCCGTGGAGCTGGTCGGAGATTTTCCACTGGGATGGTTTCCAGCACATCCTGGCAAATTAAAAAAAAATCAATGGCTTCCCAGGGGGAAATTTCCACTTCATGGGCTTAGAGAGGGAAACCAGGATGAAGAGCTGCACCTCTGCTCTGCTGCGGCAGCCGCTGGTGGCGGGAGGCAACGTTCCCCCTCTGGAGAGATGCTCCCGGCGCCCGTCCCGGCAGGGTGAGGCAGGGCAGGCAGCTCGGCTGTCTCCCACCCAGACCCTGAAGGGGAGCAGCATCCTGCAGGGGCTTGGAGCAGAAAGGCTCTGTCTTGAGTTTGGTGTCCCCGAGGGAGTGGGGCAGTCTGCAGGGGGACACGCAGGTGACCCCAAGCCTGGCTGGCAGGAGGGAGGTGCTGGGTGCCAGGCTGCTGCGCCCACCAACCTCCTTTGCCATCTCCTCTGCTGTCACCCATCCTGTCACCCAGGCGAGCCAGGAGTGTATGGTGCCCCACACCTCATGATAGCACCATGAGGGGGGGGAGAGAGATATAGGGGGTCTGCAGAGCCTGTCCCATGGGGCACGAGCCCTTGGTGCATCCCTGTGCCTCCTAGACACAGGGAGGGGGACATGGAGCTGGGGAAAACCTGTCTCAGCAAAGCCCAGTGAGCGAGGGGCTGCTCTGACCCCCCAATGCTTGCTTGAAGGTACTCGGTGAGGGGCAGGGTGGGGGGACAACAGGGGGATGATCCTGCCCACAGCCCCTGGAGTAGGACCAACATGAAGTGCAGCTCTATCAGCGTCTCCGAACCCACCCCCGCGGCAGGTTCAGGGAGAGGCTGGAGACAATTACAACGCCGAGAGGTAGGACCAGCCCCTCCGTTCCTGGAGCTGCAGGAGAGGGGGTTTATTAAAAAGAAGAAAAAAATATAAATATATGGAGGAACAAAAAATCCCCAGCCCACACTCTTCTCTCTTGAAAGGAGATAAAATGCCTCGGGGGAGGAGGAGGTGTTGAAGAGAGGGAGGGCAGCAGCAGCACAGCCGGGTGCTGGCAGGGAAGGTGTGAAAAAGGGAGAAGCGGAGCATCCCGGTGGAAGAGCCACTGCTCAGGATAGCAGGGAAAGGCTGGAGGGAAAAGGCATGG